AATTGATGCTTTTGAGTTATGGTGTTGGAGGAGAGTATTGAAGGTGCCATGGGCTGCCAAAAGAACCAACAGATCCATTTTGGAAGAAGTGCAGCCAGAAGAAAGCTGGACAGTGAATAAGGAAGACCATAGAAGAATTGATGCTTTTAAGTTATGGTGTTGGAGGAGAATAATGAAAAGTGCCACGGGCTGCCAAAAGAACCAATAGATCTGTTTTGGAAGAAGTGCAGCCAGAGTGCTCCTTCGAGGTCAAGATGGCCAAACTTTGTCACTCATACTTTGGACATATTGTCAGGAGGGACTAGTCACTGGAGAAGGATATTATGTTTGGTAGGGAGGAGGATAAGAGAAAAAGAGGAAGACCCCAACAAGATGGATTGGCCAAGCGGCAGCATCAATGGACCTCACAGTAGTGAGGTTGGCCCACGATCGGGCAGTGTTTCATTCTGCTGTGCATAAGGTTGCTATGGGTCGGCACCTACTCGATGGCACCTGACAACAACAACAAAGATTTACAGCCTCAGAAACCCCGTACAGGGTCGCTATGAGTCGGAACTGACTGCACATAACTACTACCACATTAGTTATTTATTGTAGCATTATTCACAATAGCCAAAAGATTGAAACAACCTATGTCCATCAACAGATGTGTGGATAAACAAAATGTCATATACAGATACACGCAATGGACTATTATACTGCCAACAAGAGAAATGAAGTTCTGAAGTCACCTGCTATGACACTGATGTACTTTGAAACTATTATGCTATATTAAGTAAGTCAGTCACAAAAGGAATACTATATAAATATGCTTTATGTAAAATATCTAGAATAGGCAAATACGCTGAAATGAAAGTTCAACTGGTAGTTAGTTACCAGGGGGCTGGAGAAGAGTGGACTGGGAGTTACTGCTTAAGGTTTACTGAGTTTCTTTCAGTTTGTGGTGACAGTTTTCGGAAGGAGCCTTTATTAGAAGCTTAGAGATGCTTATTGTTGTTGTTAAGTGTTGTTGAGTCAATTCTGACCCATCGCAACCTTGTATAGGGTTTCCAAGGATCAGCTGGTGAGCTTGAACTGCCAACCTTGCAGTTGAAAGGGCTTTGCAGTCTGGTGCATTAACCCACAGTGCACACCAGGACTCCTAGAGATGCTTAGTAACCTGGATTTAGGGTGATGCTTGGGGAGTTTTTGGTAGTAGGATGAAGAAACACATAAAGAAAAGCAGGTGCACATGGGATGAACAGTGGACAGGGAGTAGACGGGGCGAGGTGGAGGGGGGCGTTTAATAATGCTTATTTTTAAAGCTATTACTGCAAAAAATGTAGGCATGGTTTATCAGAAACATCTAACAATATTTTCTTTAGGCTTTGATAAGGCAAGGCAATTTGTCCCAGTTATAATTTTCCTCAACCTTTAAAAAGTCCCATTTCCAGTGCACTAGATCTAACGGTTGGTTTGAACTGCAAATTCGGTAGTTCAAACTCATCAGCCACACCTTGGAAACCCTATGTTGTTGTTGTTAAGTGTTGTCGAGTCATATCCTACCCATAGGAACCCTGTATAGGGTTTCCGAGGAGCAGCTAGTGAGCTTGAACCACCGACCTTGCGATTCAAACCAACTTAGCAGTCCAGTGTATTAACCCATAGCGCCATACCAGGACTCCTGGAAACCCTATACAGGGTAGCAATGAATCGGAATCAACTCAATGGCACTTAACAATGAGAATACAACATGGCTGAGAATACAACAAAAAGGCAAAAACTGTAAATCTAAAGAGCATGCAATAAGCTCTGAGAGAATGTCTCAGAAATACCCAACTTGGCACCAAGAGTGCTAGGCTGGCATTTGAATTTCATTTAGTCACCCTTGTCTTTTGCTCCATGTTTAAGGACTGCATGAAATTCCTCTTTGTGTCAATGGTGCTTCGATATAGCTCATCCACGTCCTCATTTGTAAACCCATCTCCCATGGTGGTCAGCAAGACTCTTTAGCAACATTTCTGAATAGTGCCAACTGCTTCTTCATCAGAACAAGCAAAAGCATTTCTGATGACATCTTCAGGATGTGATCCCTTTAGCTTCTCCCCAAACATCATAAAAGAAGATGGCAAAAATGATGGTGCCTGGAGCCTCACCCATCATGGCATCCAGATACTCATCAGTTGGATTTTCCTCAGGGAAGCAGGCACTTTGTGCAAGTATTCCTTGTTCAAGAAGTCATCTCTATTCTGATCAATCATGTTGCAGGTCCCTTTGAACTCCTGAATCTGTTGACTGGTCAAACATGGAAACACATTGGATGTTGTGTACTCAGAGGGCACTTCTTGGTGGGGTGGTCTTTGCCCTTTGGCCTGGCATGATGGTGGTTAAATCCTGAGCAGCCAAGAGAATCAGAACTGCCTTTGCTGCTGACGGAACACTAAATTTTTAAGTGTAAAACAAATAACTGGAGTTGGGGTGAAGTCATTCACAATTATGGATGTGAGTTTTGGTATGATCACCCTAAACGGAAAAGTGTCAATTGAATATTTTTAGAGTGAAAAAGACAAATATTCTCTATTTGCACATTCTCCAACCCCATACCAGCATAGGTATGAGTCTTGGGAAACTCATTTTCACTTTGAATTAAAATTTTTCTTTGCTTGCCACATCTCAATGAGAGCTCTATAAAGCGGACTTCAAAAACTTCACAGGAAAATGGAATGAAAAAATAATGGAATTTTCCCAAGTACATTTTGAAACCCCCTCATTATCAACATGAGGCAGAGTTCCCAAAAGGCAAAGACAACTCACATGCCTACTTTCCCAATTCTGTTATCTGACACTAGCTACTTCTGTGGTGGTATTTTTTCTCTAACCCTAACCACCCAGGAGCTGGGATTTCTCCAGTTAGGCTCTGTCCTTCCAGCCTCTGCCAAACAGGCAAATACCAGACTAACTGTTGACTCTCATTGCCCTCCAGGGATCTGCTCTACTGGAATGACTCACAGAACTCATGAAGACTATCTATACTTGTAGCTGCCCATTTATTATAACCAGAAAGGTACAAGTGAAGAGACACATCAGGCTTAGTCTGGGTGAGGTCTGGATTTCAACCCCTTTCTGAATCCCCAGTAATGGACCACCCTTTCCAGTGGAGGGATATTCATACCAATAGAGGAAGCCGCCAGCCCCTCCCTCCACATTCTGGGCTTTTATTGGTTCACTGATAGTCAATAATTGGGACAATCACTGATTGGGTGAGACATTCGATATGCAGCCTGTTCTATCCTAACCCACCTCTGCCAGCCCCCCACCCTTCTTCCAGAAGTCAGCTGCTCTTCGTTTGTGCTTGTTTTAAGTGTTGCCTGGCTACTTAAGAAAACAAAAGGCACCTTGATTGCCTGCAAATTCCAGGGGTTATTTTTAGGAACCAGAGACAAAAGGCCAAATTAAGTCCCTTGAAGCACAATACCAAATCAGAAAGGGATACACCATTTAGGCAACCCCAGGTGTACATTTTATTTCTATAGTTAAAAATAATCTCTTTAGAAAAATTTTGGAGTATAAATTTGCTATTCCAACGTATCTGGATTATTTTACAACATTTGCTTCTGTGAACGTTTATTTCAGTAGAAATTTAAAAAGACTGGTAAGATTAAGCTCAACATGTAAATCGAATATCTGGGCATTAGGGAAAGGATGTTGGAAGACGACCTAGACCTAGACTCTATGACTCTGCTTCCCTTCCAGATATCCTGAGGCCCCTCTCCCCTCATACTCTTATAATTCCTTTAAGAGTCAGCTGGAAAATGAGTCAATTAATTTGTGTATATAGTAATAAAAAGTTCTTTAGGGGAAACTGAAGCATGCAGGTGTTTTTATTGGAGATATCTGTCATAAGATCACTTAGTGTACAATCTAAAATTAGAGGAACAAAATTTGATTACTTTTTTCCCTCTCCATCTTAGAAATGACAGATGATCATGTATTTCATGTGGCGCTGCAAGATAATGCATTGGACCACAAGGTCAATTTGAACCAAAAGGTTGGTGGTTCAAACTCACCAGTCACTCCTCTACAGCACTTTAACAACAACAATAACAACAACAATTCATGTTAAGTACAGGAAAACGTGGGCTCTTACCTGAAAGTAGCCACAAAGTTCACTGTGGGCCAGCCCAAGACAAAGGACTTCAGGGCATTGGTGTTGCCTTCTCCTACTTCATCCACACAGCTTGCTGTCCACATGTCACTTAGCTTTATTTTATTTTTTATCTTAAAGTTGTTGTTATATCTAGAAAGATTAAAAAGAAACATAAAACAGGAGACCTCTTGTTATTTTGTTTCTTAAATGTTATGGGAACTTCTGTGATTATGATAAAAGGAACATTTTCATTAATCAGGGACAAAGAATGTCTTATTCACTGTTTTTATCTTCAGTTCTTAGCACAGTAAATTGTAACATGGAAGGAGTACACTTGTTTACTAAGTTAACTTTGGACCAAAAAGACCTGAAAATATTGTAAACATAAAGTGGCTGTTTTATTTTTCTATAAGTTAATTAAAAATCTAAGTTTGAGTTTATTGCTGTTATAAAAAATTAACTGCATTCAAATTATTTGAGTGGCTTCACAAAGGATTAAAAAGATATGATTTATGTAAAATATTTTTTATTTTAAGTGAGGTGGACTAGAAAACAGCCTGGAATTAATGAAATTTATCAACTACATTTTCAATGAAGTGGCTTTAAGATTTTCTAGCCTTTAGAAGTATGTTGTTGTTGTTAAGTGCCATTGAGTTGGGTCTGACTCATAGCAACCCTGTATAGGGTTTCCAAGGAGCAGCTGGTGAGTTTGAACTGCCGACCTTGTGGTTCAAACTGACCTTGAGGACCAGTGCCTTATTCTACAGCACCATAGGTTATTTTAAACTTCTTTTCTAGAGATTTTGCTTATAACATTTTATTCCTCGCATTCTAGCAAAAACTGAAAAACTATAGCCCTAACAACAGGATCTAAATAAAGTTAAACAAAAGAAGAAGAAAAAGAGATCAGAAATTATTATACTTAAATTGGGCTGACACACTTACTGTTCATTTCTGGGGACCCAGAAGATGATCTACTTTAAGTAAGCACTGAAATTGCTTTTTGACAACTTCTACCTAATCCCCCAAGACCTCTGATACGGAAACCTCAAATCTCTCGACCTGATTTAATGTGCAGGCTGGTTTTGAGTCTTAAATAGTTTCAAAGCATTACTGAGCCCTGTGGAGATGCTGTAGGATAAGCACTGGGCTGGAAACCTCCAGGTGGGCAGCTCAAGCCCATCAGCTGAAACCCTACACAGGGTCGCTGTGGGTCAGAACCGACTGGATGGCACACAACAAGAGTAACACTTAGTTGACAGTTAACACAGCAAATTAGTTTCCCATTCAACAGTTTATATGCAAAGAGTTTTATGACATTGGTTGCTTCCCCACAATGTGTCAGCACTCACCCCATTGCCTTTTGTCAGGATCTTCTACCCCTTCCTGCTCTCTCACTTTTGTTTTTGGACAAATGTTGTCCTTCCTGACAATATGTCAGTAGGAGAGGCAAAGTTTCACCATGGTTGCTTACAAGGAGCAATTGGCCATACTTCTTCCAAAACAGATGGGTTCCTTCTTCTGGCAGGCCATGGTATATTCATTAGTCTTCACTAACAGCATAACTTAAATGCACAAGTTCTTCTCTGTTCTTCCTTGTTCACCGTCCTTCTTTCACATACAGAAGAGAGGACTGAAGGTAGCATGGCTTGGGTCAGGTGCATCTTAGTCCTCAAAGTGACTGTGTATTCCTTCCATTTTTTTTTTTTTTTTTTAAAGTTTTTATTGTGAATTGAGTGAAAGTTTACAGGGCAGATCATCAGTTTTATATTCAATAAACCATACACCTTGTTCATTACAATTATTATATTATAATCTCCTCCATGTATGATCAGATAACACGGTTTCTGTCTATTTAAGCTCTCGCTCTTTAAAACACTCAGGCATATATAATAATTTATAACACCAAAGGGCACATTCTGCAAGTTTGCCTCCTGGACACCAGCTCTCAGTCTCTCCCTCTTTCCATGAAATTAGAGTCCTCAGCTGATCCCTCTCTCCATGTCCCCTTCTCTGCCTCCATCTCTGTTGTCCCTGCTTCTCTGGATAAGGTCCCACATTCTGCTTGTTCTCTTCTCCCCTGATGGTCCTAGGGTCCTTTATTTCTGGACTGTAAGATTAGCTATTCCCCCGCTTTTGTTACAAAACTTCCACCTTTACAATTGTGATTGTCGCAATTATCATGATAACAATTACTCACTA